CTTCAGCACTTCAACTTTACTTCACAGTAAACAAACGCAAAACAGAAGTAAACAACCTGAGCCCATTTAGAGTCTACTAGCCTGCAAGCCAGACAGAAACTAGGACGATAACTGTTGAAGTAGCGCTGGAGCGGCCGCGGCCCAAACAGCACCAGAACCGCTCACGGCGCATGTGCAAACATGGCTCGCCAGCTGTTTCCCTATTAACACACGTCCGTTTTAATTTCTACACTTTTTTTATCACACAATAACAAGGATAGTCGAGAAAGCATGTTTGCCGTGGTTCTGTCACATTATACTGTCACACAACATTTATTTCCTTTCTTTCGTTTTCCTCTCATAAATACCTGCGTCCTCCTGCAGCGATCCAGAGGGACAACAGGCATCAGCAACACTGTAAAAATCCCACGTGTTGTAAAAACTGATATTTTTAGCACATTTTAGGTCTGACGTGTTGCTAGCAGACACAGCGTGAGCTGAAACTGAGCGCTACAAATGAAAAAGTCACAGTGTCTGCAGAATATATAGCGGACCTCCGAGTCTGCTTGCAGAAGAGACGTTTACATGAGGATGTTTCCTGGTCAGGTGCTGCAGCATGGAGGATGTGGTGTTGTGGTAGGCTAAATCCATTTTACAGTATTTACACTGGACTACGTTTCCCGCCTTACGAAGTGAAAAATGGTCCCACATCTTTGACATTTTCTGTCTTTTTCACACTCCACCGGGGTCCACGTCGTCCTCCATGGCTTGAGAGAAAGTTAAGTTACATTCGCTACTCGCGTGTGCATTCAGTGCAGTGTGTGTGTGCATCACTTATTTAGGTCCGGGTGAAACATGACCCCCGAGCGATTGCAAAGCCATGAATTAATTAAACATGACTTAAACGAAGCCTCGAGGCAGAGAATTTGACTCGAGGCTTTTTTGTACTCGAATCATTGGAGGTACTCGAGGAATCGTTTCAGCCCTACTACTAACCCTAACCAAACAGCAGATCTAATATCATGTACCACACTAGTTACAATAAAACGTTGAACACAAAAAATATAAAAATAAGGTGAAAATATGTTTAACCATGGATGTCTCTATTTCTCAATGCTTGATAAGGCACAGCTTTGAGTGAGCTGTAAAATCTCGTCCTTCTGTTTTCTGTCATTAAACGCCTAATAAAAAGTTTCTAATGCCTGCAGAACCAGATTTTTGTCCCCCGATTTTCTAAATCTACTGAATCTACCTGTTAGATCATCTGAACAGCTGTTCTGATTAGCAAGACCCATTGTAATTCAGCTCCAGCTGCTTCAAGCATCTGGATCAACACCCATGACCAAACAAAAGTTCTTCAAAGACTGAACTTGATTTGATCTGCTTTCAACACATCTGGTACATTTTAATGATTTATACAGGTGTTAGACACATTACTGTTCCTTCTGAAATCCACAACCTTTGTTTTGTACACACCTATGAGATGATTGCTGCTACACCCTTCCAAAAGGTGCTATACTCTTAGTCTTTTGTCCATCTCTGACATACCCCCAACATCTGCCGAGTCATAATATTTCTGTAGATGACTCTGAGGTGTACAACATAAAAAAGGAAATGGTGAGAGTACTGTCCCCTGTGGTGCTCCTGCAGCTGGGAACTTGGTCTGACACACAACCCTTCAGTCTCATAAAATGTTATCTGTCAGTTGGTAATCCAGGTGACCGTGGATTCATCCACCTGGGTCTCTGGAGTTTATTATGTAATAAATCAGGTGGGATTGTATTGCATGCAATCAAAGAACATGCTGCAAGCTAATCCAGGTGATTGTGGACTAAACCAGGTTTATGTGTTTTTGTTTATTATAATGACAAAACCAAGATGTGAGAATGTACCTCCTGCAGTAGCTTCTGATAGAAAATAGACGGTGAAACTCTAGGATTAGAAAAGCCTGACAGATCTACGTCACACTGTCACTTAACTCTTAAATACCATTGATGACAAAAGTTGTCATTTTGAATCCAACCGTTCACTGACAATGACGACTAAAGTCTAAAGTCGTCATTTGCATTTTTTTTACTGTCGGAACGGGCCCCCGCACCGTGAGAACAAACATCCCAGCTCTAAAGCCGATCTTCATCCGCGTACAAGAAGGAAGCAGAAAATCCATGTGTTTGGAGATCAATTTGGGCTGCTGCTATAAAAAAGTGAGGCGCGAACTGGAAAAGCTTCTGCCAATCACAGTTTGACAACAGATTATGAAAGGATAACGATCAAAACACGCAGATTCTTCCTGATGTAAGAGGTGAGTCTACTCTTTGTGTTGTTAGTTTTGGCGTTGACATCATCCTAGAGCGCAACTTTCTGTGACTCTCAAAAAACAGTGAAAATGCTGAAAAACGCTGACAGCAAAGGGCTTTTCTGAAAATGGCTGGCAGTGAATGGAAACAGCAGAGAGCGTCTCAACTAGCAGAAGCTAACCCTTAGCATTAGCAACTCTACAACAGGGTAGAACTCTTTCAGGCTTGTGTTATTTGCGGGGATCCAACATCAACGTTACAGAGCAAATGGAGTCAGTGGTAGAGCTGAGTTGCTGTTAGCCAATCAGAGGTGAGATGTCCAAACATCAGGAAATAAGACTCCAAATCTTCTCATCTGACGTTATACTTACTTGTCTGAATTCTCTGTGCTGGAACAGGCATACCACAGCCTTTCTTCCCCAGATTTACAAGGCAATCGTTTCTATTAGAGTGGGGCAGCAGTAGATCCGGGGGTAGAGTGGGATGTCCAGCAACTGGAAGGCTGTAGGATCAATCTTTTTTTTGCTTGCGGAGTGCTTCCCTTCCGTGTGTGTGTGTGTGTGTGGGGGGGGGGGGGGGGGGGGGGGGGGATTTCGTAGGCGTGGCGCTGAAATTTCAGCCGTGGAGCAGCGCAACACCTGCCGCCTATGTAGGGGGAACACTGAGTCTGATGTGCTCGTTACTTTGCTGGAGGTTGGGCTCCCATGGATTTTTGACCCTAATAGCCATCTGTTGGTAAGGTCTTACTTGAACACAAAAATAATGCTTGCTTGCAATGATTTAGGTATGTTCTGTCCTCTATCACCAGGGAAAATACACACTGTGACTTTAAAAGAGGTTTCAGAACTGACGGACTCTCACGGCAACCAGTGCACACCAAAACACTGCCGCAAAAACTAAAACGCTTGAGGAGAGACTCGATAAAGGACCACAACACCAGGAAGGCATCAAACTGCAAGAAGCTGGAAGAGGCTCAACCAAATGGACACAATTTACAGATGTATGGCTTTTCACCCTGCAAACTCATCAAGTTTGGGCCCACATGGGGCTGAATATGAGCTTAGTGGTTGGGACCTACGTGGGTATTTTGTAGGCAGTATATGGGCTAAATTACGCTTGGGAAATTACAGGGGTCCAACTGGGCTCCACTTGATGGGTTAGAGGTCCTTAACTCTGGTCCTCCACTACATTCAGTGTTGTTAGACCAACCTGTAGTTGCCTTTACAGTCCTGGAGGGGAGTTTTGTCATCCCAAGCAGTAAGCAACCATTTTATTACCCTTATGGGTACAACGAGGGCTTCAGATGGAAGAAACCCTTGGTTGCCCAAGATAGGGAGATAATTATCAAGGGCGATGTTAATGTAAATTGGGGTGATAAAAGGTAAATGCCATCATTAATTATCCAGAATTTTCTTGTTATTTGACTGGTGTCTCTCTGAGGTCTTGGGATCAAACTGCTCAGCTTCCAATCAAAGGACAGTCACTCACCTCACTCAACTACAGCGGCCTAACCTCGTTAGATAAAACAATCTTACTTCTTGTGCACTTTTTAATGAGGAAAAACATTTTGTGAAAAGAACCAAAAGGCCATCAAAGTTTGAGTACTATTGATTAAGTATGAAATAATATTTATTTATGCTAACCCACAGCCAGTGTTGGGAGTAACGCCGTTTAAGTATAACGGCGTTTCTAACGGCGTTCTTTTATAGGTAACGGAATAATCTAACTAATTACTTTTTTAAAGTAACGTTCCCAACACTGCCCACAGCCAGGCACTCTGGTAGTTGGGTTAAAATCATCATTTTCTGCATTGTCACTGACAAGCTCAGCTGTGCTTTCATAAGATTTCAGTAAACACATTAAAAATAAAAGAGAACTAATTGTGGAGTATACCAGAAATGCCAGGATAAAAGCTTCACACAACCACACCGAGGGAATCACCCGAACCAGGAAACTCTGCTGATTACCTGTTAGCACCAAAACAACTCCGCTGGTCAGAAGACCACTGACACCATCAGGTCAGTGATGGAAACACTAACTGGATCTAATCTGTTTAAAAAGAAATATCAGGAAAATATTTGGGCTGGACTCTCTACATGTAGCACAATGCACTGAATGCTCTCTACGTCCTAACCTCCGGTTCTAGTAAAATAATGAATTAGTGTTTCAACTGTGACTTTAGAATAAGTAAAAACTGGGTGCAGAGGGAGGAGAGCACAGCCATTCAGCAAACAATACATTCTTACATCTGTTATGTTTCATTCTTCCTCTGCCACTTCTTTTCTCTGCAGGGAAACAATAAATGGCACCACCAACTCAGAGTGATGGGACGAATCCTATCTCTGCCAACACACACTCTCCATCAGAGCAGTCCAACAATTCAGGCTGTCTTTTTGTTTTTGGTACTTTAGATAAATAGTCAAGGCGGTCGCAGCCGTGTCTGTCTGAATTTATGGCTGTTCCTTTGTTTCTATGGGGAATTCATCAACTCGCTACAGTAAATCAGTGGACAGTCAGTTTCTTGCTTTGATGAATTGGGCCAATAGGTCTTGATGAATAAGCCATGCTACATAAATCTAACAATGACACAGGTCATAGTGGCTCTAGTGCTTGAACTGTTGGCTCAACACCAACCTTCAAGAGGACTTTTCTCTGGCAACAACACATTCAGATTGTGACTTCTCCAACTGACTGAAGATTTTAAGGTGAGAACTTCAGACTTACCTTGGTATCTGAGCAGAACTGATCTAGCCTGAGATGTCGGACTGTGGAAGCGGATGGCTATCTGATTACTGTGGCTTCGTACTACCAACCCCTTCATCAGGATGGACTCGTTCGCCAGCACCATGTTCTCCTCATGGCCCACATCTTCAAACACCACCTTGTCACCATCAGAGAGATTGACACTCATCACCTGTGAGAAACAGAGAAGGGATCTGGTCATTTTACACAAATGAAACTTAGAAGAGCAAACTATACACATTCTACAATCTAAAATCTACTGATAATTTACTGTCAGTGCACAGGTGTACAACAAAATTGATTTTGCGCTCACTCAAGACAGCTCACCTAAGGAGGTAGTAAAATATGAGTAAAATAAAATAAGGCTAAGTCACGCGGGAGGGGCTTGGAGTAGTCCCGCTGCTCCTCCACATCAAGAGGAGCCATTTAAGGTGGCTCGGGCATCTAGTTAAGATGCCTCCTTGGTGAGGTTTTCTGGGCACGTCCAACAGAGAGGAGACCTAAAAGAAGAACCAGGACATGCTGAAGGGACTATGGGTGTGTCCGAATCCACGGGAAGGATGCTTACGAGTACGGGTCCTCGCCGGTCTAGCAAGACCGGGTCCTTGAAGACCGCTAAAACCGGAACCCAGCGGCTCTGAATTTGGACAGTCTAGCCTTCACCTCTACGGTGGCCCGTAGGTCCCGTCACAGCCGTGGCGGCAGCTACACGCAAAGGAAAAATGCTAAAGCTAGCGAAAATGGAGCAGGAATATTAAGGAGCTAGAGCAGCTTCACGTCCATCAGCAGCGTTTGTTCACAACCGTTTTCAGGTAAAGTAACTTTGTTTATTCTAGAAGCTTTCAGGACTTACATGTTAACTTTAGATGGTTTCATGTATGTTTTAAGCTACAGAATGAACTTGTTAAACGTACACAACACATTACTACAGAGTACTATCATGTAGGTAATTAATATAAACCAAATGCATTATAAATGTTGAATGCAGTAGAATGTTTTCTAATGTGAATTGGACCTTAGAACTTCTTATTTTGCATCAAATGAGGGTAAAACGTTTTAAAAAACAGGCTTTTAATAAAATAGCATTGAACTGTTTTCAATGTGCATTTGTTTATTCAACTTAAGCCTAATAATGATTAGATTTGTCTTAAAAATGTAATTCTCTGTAGTTTTCCCTGCTGCTTTACTTTAAACTGAACAGAACCAGTGTACTGCAGGTTATAGGTTTGTTTTACATTTTTCAATTAAACAAAACTCTTATTTAATCTATTACGGGTCAGCATGCACTGTGCTGCACATCTGCCTCTGTGCTGGTGAAGTTGTGGGTCTGGAGGATGAGCGTGAGGAAGATGTGTGTGGAGGAGGTCAGTGGTGCTCTGTCCTGCAGGAGGTACCAGCAGACCACCACTACTGTTAACAGGCAAGTCATTCACAGAGATGCAACAGCCGTCGTCTGAGCCAGCCCAGCAGGCCCTGTAGATGGACGATGGAGTGGACAGTGAGAGGAAGCGTCCCAAAGCTCTCTCTGCAGACCGTCCTGTATGATGTTCCTCTGGCCAGAAACGTCCAGCCACGGGTCTGCTCCAGCCCTCCATCCACATCTGGATCCTCCTGCAGCAGATCCAGCTGCACTGTTAAAGACTTCCCGCTCACTCAGTTTAAATAAATGATCCAGGAAGAGTCACTCAGGTTAATCCTGCTTTAACCGTACATAACTGGTCCATACCGGTTCTGATCTGTAAATAAGTGTAACCTATTATAAATAATCTTGTCTCCTTACCATCTTTTCATTTTCTGTTCATGTAACATGTTCAAAAACATCTGTAATAATAAAACTGGTGATAAAATCAATGACCAGAAAGAGTTATCAGTTAGTATTTGTTTTAATAAACGTGTTCAAATATCAAACAGCTAAATAACATCAACATGATGACAGTAGAAGGCCTCTCTCCCAGGAGGACCACCAGGTAAAGCCTCTCCTGACCCTGGACACCTGCAGTCCTACAGAGAAAACCAGACCACAGGTGACAAAAAGGCAATAAACACATTTTTACATTTATCCACATGAGAAGATGAAAATTTTATTCTTCACACAAACTTTTTACTTCATTATAACGTGTCAGCTGTAAATCCCTGAATGTAAAAGTACTTTTCACAGCAGAACACAGAACTACTGTACTCATGTAAACTGCTTCACTCTTCACCACTGAAGTGAAAACGCTTCTTTGCTCTGTTTTCCTTAAAACAAATGACAAGTTTAATTTGCCACACACACACACACACACACACACACACACACACACACACACACACACACACACACACACACACACACACACACACACACACACACACACACACACACACACACACACACACACACACACACACACACACACACACACACACACACACACACACACACACACACACACACACACTGGGACCTGCGAAACAAACTCGTTCTGGCTGATTTCTGCCTAAAATGTAATGTACAAAAGAAATATACAAATGAAAAATGTCTATAAACTGAACCACTTTAAGCTTTTTAGGTTTCTACGGCTAGTTTTTAACAAACTTACGTTTAAAACTTCGTAGCTCTCCCCATTTTCTCTTCCTGTTGAAAATCCACAGCCGGCGCTCAAAGCATGCTGGGATAGCCTTGTTCTGTGAGGAGACAACAGACCCATCCTCGAAATGTGGGCGGAGCGAGGACACATTTGAGGACGCGAGAATGAGTATTCTTGGAATTCGGACAGTACTCGTCGCTGCGCTGTGACGTCATCGCACTCTTACAAGCATCCTTCCCGTGGATTCGGACACACCCGTCGTCTCTTGGCTGGCCAGGGAACGCCTTAGGATCCCCCCAGAGGAGCTGGTCCAAGTGGCGGGGGAGAAGGAAGTCTGGGCCTCCCTGCTTAGGCTGCTGCTCCCGCGACCCGACTCCAGATATGCGGCCGAAAAAAAAAAAAGTTTTCAGTAGAAGCCGACCGATATGATTTTTCTAAAAGCTGATGCCGAAACCAATTTTTAAAGAATTTTGTTGCCAATGGCCGATATCTAAAGCCAATTATTAAGGCTGATATATATATATATATATATATATATATAGATATATATATATATATATATAAGTTTTAGCTGCTCATTGATTGTGAAAGACAGCTGAACACACTGTTTGCAATGCAAAATAAATAAATCAATAAGTCTCTTAATCTTCAAATACAAAACAAACTCAAAACCTTTTAAAAAACGGTGTGTTGGGGTCCTTCGGGACCTTTCTTCAGTCTAGTAGTGGTGGCAGTTGGCCACACAGGTGCCTGATCGGTTTTTAAAAATAATTTCAGCAGATGGCCGATATTGACAATATGTATTATATTGTCCAGCCTCTAGTAATCAGAAGACTAAAACAAGGCAGTGTAACGGTACAATAAACTACAGGAAACACTGATGTCTAAAACTAACTGAAATTCAATACTGTGAGTAGCTAAAAAGGCTAACCTGTCATGATCTGGCCATGTCCTGACCTCCATGCACCATCATTCACCTCATCAGCCTTCATGCATCACACCTGGTCCCCTCATCAAGCTCCAGCCAAGCCCGGTTTCCCCAGCAACCACAGTCAACTCACAATCAAGCTCATGCCACACACCTGCCTCACCATGTCACGTCCTGTTCTGTCTACTCTTAGGTTTTGTCTGTGTCTCCGTTAATTGCTCCCACCTGCCTCTTGTTTCCCAATCACCTTAGCTCCCGGTCCTCCTGTATTTGAACCCCGTCTGTTTTGTGTCCTTTGTGGAGTCATTGTTTCAGTGTCCAGCGTGTCTCTTTAATAAACCTATGTTAAACGGACTCATCTGTTCACCTTCTTCATCCCTGCGCTTGGATCCTCCTCTGATCACCACCTCGCTGCCCGGCATGCTCGTGACACACCAGCTTTATATTCCACAGTCAACCACCAGCACTCGGCCAGACTACTGAATGCTCCTGCTAGTAGATCTTGCAGGCTTTTGTCATCCTGCCTGATCATAGTATCTCGACCTCGTTTCCACGCCTGACCATCGCCACGAACTCTGCCTGCCACCACGACCCTCGCCTGTCTACGACCACGTCTCTAGCCTGCTCTCTGTACCTGCTTCGTCCCGGTCTGGCTTTGACCCACGCCTGCCTTCAACTCTGCCTTACCTGAGTATTACTCCGGTAACACCTCCTCACAGCTCCTGGCTAATAAAGACTGTTAATCATCTTACTGTGTTTGGTGTCTTCACGGGTCCTCTAGTTCTGGTTATTGCATAACCGGGAATTATTACATGTGAGATGACTATAACCAAGGCAGTGAAAACTGCTACAATCAACTACATAAAACGGTGTTAAAGTAACAAAAGTTCAATGCTTTGAATAGGTAAGTGGGCTAACCCAGAATTTATAATGAACTGCCAAAAGTTACAGGGAATTACTAAAACTAAGAACATTGAGGCAGACCAAAACTAAAGCGGTGAAGCTGGTACAATCGCCTACAGAAAACATTAATGATTAAAAGTAGAAAACTAAAAGAAATGCAATACTGTTAGTAGCTAAAAAGGCTAACCAGGAATTATTTAGTGTTGGACGACTATAACAAAGGCGATAAAAATGGGTACGGTGAACTACAGAACAACACTGTCAGTGCTTTGAGTAGGTCAGAGGACTAACCTCGAATTTACAATGAACTGTGAAAAAATAGATCAGAGATGCAGGGAATTGCTCAAATTTAGAGTAACAAGGCAGACCAAAGCTAAAGCAGTGTAACTGGTCAAATGAACCACAAATAACAACATTGGACTAAAACTGGAAGACTAACAGAATCTCATTTAAACACAGTGAACATGGCAGCCAGGAATTACTAAGTATGTGAAAATGTTTATTAAATGGTAACGACCTGTATTTGTTTAGCGCCTTCTTAGGGTTCTACAACCCCCCAAGGCACTTCACAACACAATCAGTCATTCACCCAGTCACACACTGGCGGGGATGAGCTACGACGTAGCCACAGCTGCCATTAAGCAAAAGGTATGAGCTGAAAAATAACTGAAATGAATTGAATTAAAGTTTAAATGAATTTACTTGAATTAAAGTTTATTTTGTTAAGAAATAGAAAATGTACTAAGAAACCACAATGTAGCCATATAAACA